ATGTTGGATTTTGCTGGATTTTTTGAGGGCTCAGATGCTAAGACATTGGGCCTCTACTAACCCGATTTTTCTCCCCAATTTAGTCGTCTCCAATTCCTCCCGCTAGTTAGGACTCCCCCAATCACACGATGCTATCAACGCTAGTATGGGAGGCAAATCCAGCCAAAAAAGAAATTAAAATTAAAACCATAAAATGAAAATGCAAACCTCTTTTTGCCATTTCTTTTTCCAAACATCTGCGCAAATATCCTGCCACAATTGAAAATGAAATGAAATGCCTACATTTGCAACTTCATTTTTCACATGAGCACGAGCCATTTATGACAAAAATAAAAATAAATGTAAAACAGCTATTTGTCATTTCATTTTAGTCGTTATTCTGGGTTTTTCATGGCCAAATCTAAAATGAAAAAGCTAACAGAGAAAAGAAAATCCAAGCTTCACTTTGGCTTTGGCTTTTCTCCATGAAGTGCAGAATACGGGTCAAAACTAAAATCAAAATGCAATGTTTACATTGTTATTTCTTTTTCATAGCAATCGGCTGCAGATCTGACAAAATGAAAATGAAAATGCAAAACTGATAAATCAACAGCAAAGTGACGGTTTGTGATTCAGTTTTCGGCGTCGACGCGCTTTAAGTGTCAGAATGAAAAGGCAAATGCAAACGAACATCAGCGCCACCTGCTGGACTTTTACTTTTCATTTTCGACTTTTCGATTTCGTTTTCAAATTGACCAACATGCAAATATATGTTAATTAGCACTGGGCGGGGCTACGGGGTACATTTTGGGACATCCTCAGACCTCCGAGTCAGAGCGGCATCATTCCTCAAGCTGAACGACTTCGAGTCTCGAGAAAATCCATCGTGATGACTCAGATCTGGTGAAACTGAACGTCAGCACAAACACCGTCAGACCAAACGGCCTCAGAGAAAAGGTGTCAGACCAAACGCAGGCCTGGTCGAGCATATAGTGGTTCATATAACTTTGAAAACTATTATGTATCTCGATATAAATGCCAGTATAACATTTCCAGTTTCTTCTGACGGTGTTTGTGCTGACGTTCAGTTTCACCAGATCTGAGTCATCACGATGGATTTTCTCGAGACTCGAAGTCGTTCAGCTTGAGGAATGATGCCGCTCTGACTCGGAGGTCTAAGGATGTCCTAAAATGTACCCCGTAGCCCCGCCTAGTGCTAATTAACATATATTTGCATGTTGGTCAATTTGAAAACGAAATCGAAAAGTCGAAAATGAAAAGTAAAAGTCCAGCAGGTGGCGCTGATGTTCGTTTGCATTTGCCTTTTCATTCTGACACTTAAAGCGCGTCGACGCCGAAAACTGAATCACAAACCGTCACTTTGCTGTTGATTTATCAGTTTTGCATTTTCATTTTCATTTTGTCAGATCTGCAGCCGATTGCTATGAAAAAGAAATAATGTAAACATTGCATTTTGATTTTAGTTTTGACCCGTATTCTGCACTTCATGGAGAAAAGCCAAAGCCAAAGTGAAGCTTGGATTTTCTTTTCTCTGTTAGCTTTTTCATTTTAGATTTGGCCATGAAAAACCCAGAATAACGACTAAAATGAAATGACAAATAGCTGTTTTACATTTATTTTTATTTTTGTCACAAATGGCTCGTGCTCATGTGAAAAATGAAATTGCAAATGTAGGCATTTCATTTCATTTTCAATTATGGCAGGATATTTGCGCAGATGTTTGGAAAAAGAAATGGCAAAAAGAGGTTTACATTTTCATTTTATGGTTTTAATTTTAATTTCTTTTTTGGCTGGATTTGCCTCCCATACGCTAGGAGGGTGAAGGCTAACACAGGCTTCCTCCGAGACCTGTGGAGCCAACCACCGCTTCTTTTCGAACGGCCGCTCGCGCAACGTAATTGGACAGCCGAACGCGCTCGGAGGAAAACGCCAACCGCCAGATCTGTTACGTCAGCGCTGACTAGCATCGCGCTGAGTGATGGGGGGAGGGGCCATCCTACCCACCCAGAGAGAGCGAGGCCAATTGTGCTCTCTCGGACTCCCGGCTACGGATGGCTGTAGCATCACCAGGGATCGAACTCGCGATCTCCTGATGATAGGGCCAACGCTTAGACGGTTGCGACACGGGCCTCTACTTTTTAAGGGAAAATTGCATTATATATTTATAAAGACCTTCGATTCTCTGCAGAAAAAGTTCTTTGAGGCAAAAAAGACCTTTGATTTTGTCATATATTGGAAAAAACAGACCTTTAAAACAGTGAAAATCAATCAAGCATAAGTGGACAACTTCTGCAAAGTGTGCATTTCTGAGTCTTTTCTGAGGACCCGAGTCTTCAGTAGTGCGCCCTCTGTTGGCTCTCTAGGCCTCTAATGTGCATATCTCTGGTCTCCTGCACAGAGACATGTGAAGAAGGTCGCTTTAGTGCGTTTCAGAGTCAAGAGGCAGGGGCCTGCAAACCACAACCTACATTTTTGAATGAGTCACAGCTCATAAAAAAAGTTGTAGAGAGAAGTGCAGGAGTGGCAGACCTAAAGGGGAATTACACAATTTCTTTAAAATTTCTGAATAATTCAGTTCATGAGATGTAAACATCATCATTCAGAGTGGTTTGATATGAAGTGGTTTATTGTAGAGAAACTTACAGACTTTGATTTCATTACAGTGGTGGTGGGTAACAATGGCTACAACACAATTATAGCCTTTTTATTTACTCTCCAAAACCACCAGTGAACCAACATGTGTCTTCTGAGTTTTTATATGTAATGATGCTATTGGTAAAATAGTCCTAAATCTGAAAAAAATCATTTTCTTGGGGACTATTTTACCTTACAATGCGCTGCTTGTACCCTCTGCCATGAATGGACTGAAATAAATTGATTAAAATACATTTTAAGCCAAAATGTTATTATACAACAATAGAACAATGAGTCCAACATCAGGCAGCATATATCTAATCATTTCATGTACTAAAAGGCAATAAATTCTTCAGATATCTGGCTCCTACCAACACCACTGTAAACAATTCTGACTCGGCAAGTTTCTCTATGGAGCATTTCAGATCAAATCACTCTGAATGACTTTGTTTACATCTCAACCATTATGCAGAATTTTTTAAAAATAGGTGGAGTTCCCCTTTAACAACTGACCAAATACCAAATTATAATTAATATCTTTATAAGTATACACAAAAATTCAGTTCAGTATTATAAAACATTAGCGAGCTGCTGCACTTGCCAACATATGATGTTAGCTAACTCAATAGCTAACTCGTCAGATAACTGGCCACTTATATCAAAATATGAATTATGAATGTTAACAATAGTTTATGAACCATCACTCTACTAATGTCTTTTTTTCACATGTCACAGTCTGTGAAGGTAAAAAAATCACAAATACTGATGCCATCACTGAAATATGCATGTGGCAAGTAAAACTTAAGGAGGTTTGAAAATGTACTTTTCTAGTAAATAGGATGATGCATGAAACCCTGAAAATGCTGCTCTCTTTCTCTCCCTCTCTTAATACATTTCTATTGACATTTGAAATCATGCCACATGGACAGCAGAATCTGCAGTGCGGTTTAGATCCGGGGTTATTTCAGGAAAAGCATACTGAAATACTCGCTTTGCGTAAGACTTTCTTTTTTCTTTTCTTTTTTGGCTAAAAGCAGGTGCAGAGCTCACCGATCAACACCACACCAGTCATATCAGTTACTTTATTACGAGCCTCTCACCTTAAATCCTCCTAGCATCATTGATTCATCTGAAAGTGTGTACACTGAAAAAGAACAACACAAAGTAAAACATTCTGAAAACTGGAAAATTGTCATAGAAAATGCTGCTTTGTTTTGAAAAACGACAGTGAACATCCTGGCATTTATACTTTCTTTGCATGATTTCACAGTAATTTTCCATTTTAATAATTCTGCTCAGGGGACTCATGGACTAGTTTTTGAATCGCCATCACATTTGGGTTCCTACACACTAAAAAAGGTGGTTCTTCAAGGGTTCTTTATTAAAACCATAAGTTCTATACAGAACAATTTTATACTTAAATGGTGCTCTGCATGGTGAAATGTTTCTTTTAGGGTGATGGAGAATGTACTGTACATGGTTCTACATACACTCTAAAAAGTGAGGTGTTAAATAAGAGCACACGTACTTGTGTTACCCATTTTAACACTTTTTGCGTCATATTGTTTTCTGATTTGACACATTGTGTGAAATATTTCAACACATTTTGTGTCAAAAGTAACTCAAACTGTGTTGTCTAAAACTGAACACACTGATGCGTCGAGTTAGAGAGAGAATGTGTTGTTTTTTTTAACACATCTGTTTTTAGAGTCTAGCACCGAAAAGGATTCTGCTATTGTTACAAGCTTGACATCGTAACAGTAGCAGAACCCATTAGGTGCTATATAGAACCATACACCCTAAAACACATGCAGAGAAGCATTTAAACAGGAAAGGGTTCTATGTAGAACTTTATAGAACCATTGCCTTTACTCAAGAACTATCGTTTGAAAGTGTCTACGCGACCTTCATATGAACCGCATCACATTATAAGGCGGCTCTGTTTTGGTATTTGAGCTGAAAATGGTTCATTATATCGAGTGAAGGGTCCTGCAAACCCGCCTGGAGACAAACAGATATAGACGTTACTGCGGTTTGTCTGAAAACTTTAAGAGCCAAGAGGTGTTTCCTCAGCGATTCAGATTCGACGTCATTTAATATATCAGCTCTGTAAATAGACGCAGGCGAAGGCGCAAAAGTCCAAAGCCCGCACGATAAAGTGCGGCATTAAACGCGACTCCAGCGGCGGAAAATCTCCAGCCCACGTAACTCACTCATCTGTCACTCGCGCAAAATAAATAATAAAATCCGGTTTAAAGCTCACGGGCTCCAGAGCGCGAGCGCAGCTGCAGGAAAGAATGAATGGAGATCTCACCGGCTCGCTCTGCATCTCTCCGTGCGCGCGCTAGAGAGCGAGAAACGCTGTGATGGATCGAGTCAGGGCTTTGAACCACACCAGCACGTGTCCCAACCTGCTGGAGAGGAAGAACACCACCGACTTTTCCAGGCTGGAGCTGGGACACTGCCTCTTCACCTCCATCCTCCCTTCAGAGACAGCAGCGCAGGTGCTGGTGTGCATCATTGTGATGCTGACCATCTTCTCCCTGCTGGTGAACGGCTGCGCCCTGCTGGGTCTCGGCCGCTCTGAGGACCTGTCCTGGGAGCCTCGCTTCACCTTGCTCAAGAACCTCATCCTGAGCGACCTCCTGCTCGTCCTGAGCGAGAGTCCCACCATCATTGCCTGCTTGTTGATGAGGCGCACCTTACCGTATGGCCCCTGGTGCCTCACCCAGTACTTTCTCGACACCATGTGCATCTTCTGCGCCATCCTGACCATCACCTGCATGGCACTGGAGCGCTACCTGTACGTCTGCCAGGCCATTTATTACCTCCACATCCTCACCTACAAACGGCTCTGTCTCATCGTCGGGCTCACCTGGTTGCTCTCGGGGTCCGCTGCCACGGTGAACATGATCCTCATGAGTCTAGGGCACAAGGCTGCCTTGGTGGGGACGTCCACCACTGGGCTCCTGTGCGAGCCGGACACGCTGGAGATCCACCTGGGCTTTCCCCGCTCCGTGGCAATCTTCCGCAAGGTGTCAGGGTTTGTAGTGACCATGCTCTGCATCTTCTCCTACTCGTTCTCCTACTTTCGCATATACCAGGAGGCGCGGAATGTGGTGCAACCCTTCCAGCAGGTGAATCACAGGGCGCGCAACACTGTGCTCTTCTACTGCTCCATGCTCCTGCTCCAGCTGCTCCCCGTGCTCCTGAAGATCATCTCGGATGCCCTGTGGGAGCTGGAGGGCACCGCAACCATGGCCTCCATGCTGATGGACTCTCCAGGATGGACCCCAGCAGGGGTTCTGCACATCACACTGCTGGTTCTTCTGCAGGTGCCTCCGTGCATCAACCCGCTGATTTATGGACTCCGCAACCAGGAGGTGCGGCAAGCTCTACCCAGGCTGATCTGGTGGAGGAAGGGGCACCATGAGGTGAACATACCCAGCTAACAACATCCTCCTACCATGAGCAGATGTTTTATTATGGTCCACTGAATAACTGAATGCACTAAACTTCATGAATGTTACAAACAAGTCAGCTGTATGTTTTGAAACAATGTGTTTCAGTTATGACAATCAGGGGACATTTATCAACTTTTGCTACAGTTTTGTAGCATGTTGTACAAAGAGTTGTTATGCATGGAAACATAGCGTTTCATATGTTTATGTGCCCTAAAGCTGGAGCAACTTAAAAACTATAAAATGTCCAGTTAAGTACAAAAAGCTACCTCCCAACATTTACTATAAATGGGGACATTCTTTGGACATTGAGGACAATATTGAGAAAAGACATTCTTCATACCGTCTGTGGAACCTTTTAAAGCCACTTTGAGAATGTCCTAATGTCGTTTTGCTTGAACTTCAGAATGTGAAAGATTTTAAAGGGGAACTCCATCAATTTTTTAGCATATATGTATAATTAGATTGTTAAGACGTAAACAAAGTCACTAAGGGTGGTTTCATGTACATCATTCTAGAGAACCCTGACCAGTCAGAATAATTCACAGTGGTGGCGATCGGAAACAGACGTCCAACAAGTTTAATGCCCCTAAGCTAACTCACAGAAAACAACTGAAAAAAAATGGTTTCAAAAATGTTGCTTGATGCCCTTGACATTGTTTTATGATAGCTGAGATAACATTTTGGCCTAAAATGTATTTCTTAATCTACTAATTGTCAGGACTGATACATGCAATGCACTGCAAGGCGACAATCCTTATAGAAAACTAATTGTTTTAGATTCACCACTGTTTTACAATTATTTACATTAAAAAAAGGATGTAGGTTCACTGGTCAGTTTGGACAGTATAAAATGGCTATAATTGCATCATAGGCATCATAGACAGTGCAGGTTCTATCACCAGCACTGTAAAGAAATCAGAGTTGGTAAGGTTCTCTACAACGCCATTTCACATTAAACTACTCTGAATGATTGTTTACATGGCAACAAGATGGGTGTGATTCCCCTTTAAATGCCACTGAGTTCTATCCAAGAAAGAGTATTATGCTCCTAGATTTGACTAAAGAACAAAAGATGGCATATAAATGTCCATACAGTACTGTAAAACTTTAAATGTGAATTTACATATGCATTAGAAAGGAAGGAAACTAATTAATGCACTACTCAAGCAGCTGCTTTTCTGAACACCGGCACATGTGCCTCATTTAGGAATAGTAGTTTTTAATGTGTTATCAGTAATTGCCTCTCTGCTTGTTATTTCCAGTAAGAACTGATTTACTGGCTGCTCTTTGGCTTATGATAGTACGTTGTTTCTATGCTGTTCTGATGGATGGTTTTAACTACAGCCTGTCTGACTACGCCCTAGAATGGGAAGGATTTAAAAATAGATGTACTCAGCTTTTAAGACTTTACTGCAGCAAAAATCAGTGATGTATCAGTAACTTGATTGCTAGCAATTGTACTCTGGGTGTTGATTGTAGATTACGCACAAAAAATGCCTTTTAAAAACAAAAAGGTCATGTCTGCACTGAGTAAGTTGTTTATGAAGATGTAGGTCTGAGTGTGTTTGCTGCTGGCCTTTCTGCAACATGAAAATCTCTACATGGACATGAGAGTGATAAACTTGTGAACAGTGATAAACTGTATTTATTGTAATATTTCAGTTTGCCCTGTTTGAAATAATTTATTGTTTTTTTTTTTTTATTTTGAAATGTTGAGCTAATTTAATCTGAATGTTTTTCAAGCTTTTTAAAAAAGTGTTCTATTCTTGGTTGATCTTCAGGTCTAGCTTTGACTTCATTCAGACTGTGTACTTTGTGTTAAGATGTGAATTCTCTTCTCTTCTAAACCCACCCACCTAAAAGCAAGTGTCTAATTATAGACCTGTGTGCATCTGTTCTTCTGCTCCTCTCGCACTCTCCTAGTGTGTGAAAAAAACAGCAAGAGAAAAACACACTGCAAAATAAATACTGCTCTACAGTACTGTGCAAATGTCAATGAGACCATTATTCGATTCAAAATAGCCATTAAGCACACATTCATTATTCAGGAGATGTTTCTAAGATATTCCACTTGTATACTCAAGAGAAAAGTTCAAGGAAAAAACTGGAATTTCCGTAACTGATGGTTAAGAGAAAACAGGACTCCTAACAACTGTGCGTGACTGACACCAAAACTGTCCCCTTCAAATAAACGTTACTTAAAGCTTTCATCTCTGGGTGAAACTCAAGCTCCACTCTTGCTTCAGACCTGGAAAATAATTCAAAGATGTTTCTGTCAGTCCTTCCACTGTGAGAAGACCACTCAACAGGTCTGGGAGGATGTGTAGCTATAAAGAAGCTGTTACTGAGAAAAGGAACCAGACAAAAAAGAACATAATTTGCTGCTGGTGTGCTCAGAACAATGGGCTGATCACCCCAGAGTTCAGACATGTGTTTGGGATTATTTGGGACTGTGAGAAGCAGACAGAGCAACCAACTTCTGAGACTAAACTTTGGAGGTGTGCAGATTTCTTTCAAAAACCGTAAGCACGCCCTCTGAAAAGAATGGAAGCTGTGATAAATAAAGGCAAAGGGTGGACACATTAAACCCTGAAAACCGGTATTTAGCTTTTCAGGCTTCCATGTAATTTTCTGTTAAATGTTGACAGTGAGAAATGATTTGTACATAGATACAGTTAGAAATTAATAATAAAAAAGGGTCTATGACTTTTACACAGTTCTGCATTTAAATATTGGCAGACATCCAATTATATTTCATAGTCCTGAGGGAGGTATAAAAACAGATTGCACTCATTCCATTATGAACGGAAATCTGGCTTTATTTGCTCTCTACCCGCACAGTATTTCTAATTAAACACGCCAACCTTTCTTTATTGGCGGCGGGGGAGTTGGGGGGGTTGGGAATTAATTACTTACTTGCATAAATAATCAGAATCATAGAATACGGGCGTTTGCTTGGTTTTAATGAGACAAAATAATGGATGTAGTTCATCCTTGATAGGAATTCAAGTATTTAATGTACCTTTTATCCATTTCTTCTCATTATTTATCTCATTTCTATGTGACAAAAAGACTATATATACATTCTAACTAAAGCAAAGATCCTGTTAAAGGGATTTGTTGATTAAGCAATGTGCAACTTCAGTGTATGTAATTTATACAACCTCTGTGCATGTGCCTACATACAGTACCACATAGTATGCAGCTGCAACTGTCTAAAGGGCATTTGTGTTTGGGATCATTATGAGCTTTGATCCAAGAGGTGTAGTGGGCATCATGATGGATTTCTTGTTCCACTTTTGTAAAAGGGCCCTGGGGTCTGTCTCACGAAGCAAGATTTCTTGCTGTCTAACTTTAGCCTGGGTTGTTGGTCTTAGGCCAATAGATTATGCTTTACTAGGATGCATCACCATGGCAATTTATGACATACACCCAACCTGCTTTAGGGCAGATTCAGGATCTCAAATTGTGAACAGCTCTTTGACCAATCAGGGCCATCCTCCAGACCTCACTGGCCCTTTCCAGGTTACATTTTATGTTTTTTTTTACTGGCATCTGTGGTGTCAATTGCATTTAAAAAAAAAAATAAAATAAATAAAACCTTTTTGGACAGAGGAAGCAGATATCAAGCATGAAGCATGAAGCATGAAACATTTACATAGGAGGATTTCTATTTCTTTGAAAAAAAACCCACCCCACATCTCACATGATAGGCTCATCATAAATGTCCTGCTTTCACATACATGAGGATTAATTATAGCTTCAGCATCTAAACTTGTTCACCACCACCCTGAAGTTTACCGTTAATTGCATGCTGGGTTTCATAAATCTGAATCTTAATCAGGAAACCTGCCTCAACTGAACGTGCTTTGTGAGACAGACTTTTTTTTTTTTGGCTATGACATGAACTGACTGAAGATCATGGTTGTTATTGCCTATTTTAGCCAAATAACTTCTGTAAAATGAGGTGGAATGTCATAAACCACATAGACCTAAACTGCATGTTACTTTGAAAGAATATTTTGAAATAGAAAACTGGTCAAAGGCTATGAAAAATATTTAAGAAATTCTGCCTACCACAGCCAATTCTAGCTCTGATTCAAACGAGACACCGTTTGAAAAAAAACCTTCTCTTGTACCGTTTTATTATACAAAATATAAAAAACAGACCTCACATTTACAAATAATTACAGCACAACATTAACAAAAGATATTTTTCATGTATTTATAAATCTTGACGGGAGAAAGGAGCTCGTGGGACAGTGAGTGGTCGTGTGCTCTGCCTCAGCACCAGTGGTTTGTACCTCCTCACTGGGTTTGCTCTGAACCTTGTAGCCTAGAAAACAGACTTTTATTATATAAAATAATTTTCAGTAATACAAGCCAGCAGCCAAGTCATGTCTCATAGCCAAGGTTACAGCTGAGGTAGGTGAGACCTTGTTAGGAAAGGTATAAGAAATTGGCCTTAGTATGCTGTACCATCATCACTTACTGATTTACTAACTCAACACTGCAACATCATATATATATATATATATACCAAATGTACCAGCATTTCGTCAATTCCCAACTTTTTCTACCAAAAGGATTGTGAACAATTTAAGGTTTTGAAGGCTACAGAAGCTGAGCCCTTAGAATTCTCACAAATTAAAGACTCTACAAAATGAACCCTTCATTGGACTAACAGCCAAGAAAGGCAGCCTACTTTTGTTGCATCCTTGGTCTTTAGACACATCTAATGTCTTTGCAAGAGCATGAATAGTGTGGAAAAGTTACATGAAGTATGTAATGAAGCCTGTGACTAAAGATGTAGATAAACCAACCGAAGCCCGCCGACTTTCCTCCATGTGCCTCAGCTCCTCCAGCCTTTTTTCACGGGCAACTCTTTGCATGGAGTCACGTTCGTCAAAAGAGAAGGGCTGTAGCTGAGTCATACTGAATCGGTCCATTTGCCTCCATCTTCAAGCCATAAAAGGCAAAAAGCAACATGTTATTTTCAGTCAGTAGAGAACAGTTTTCTCAATGCCAATTACCTGCTCTTTGGCCATTGTATGTTTGCAGCATTCAGTACAGAACCACTCAACTCCTACTCTGAACTAAAATCCACTCCCCCAGGTGATTTGAGGCACAAATCATCAGGTGCCTGTTCAAGTGTACAAAAACACCAATATCAGAAAACCCTGAGAAATCTAACCACTTAATTTTACTTTATTCATTAGTTTGAATAACAAGCTGCTGTCTTGTGGATTTGGCCTACATCTGGAGAAATTACAAGTAAGCGCCAGACCACTTTAGAGTATCTTTAGCCTTCAGTCCAATGTTACTTCACAACAGAAATTCAAAAGTTGACATGGTGAAATTCTAAATACATGCCTGATCGGTTTTCTTACTAGTAAAAATGTCATTGATACATGTGAAAATCTAGTTCTTGCATGTAAAAGTGAACCCTGGGTAAGCCTTCCCTGAGAAAATCTAAAGAAGAGGTTAAATGTCAAAATACACACACACACACACACACACACACACACACACACACACACACATATATATACATATATATACTATATATATATATATATATATAACAATAATAAAACATCTTGCAGGTTACAGTTAACAGAGACGCTAACCCGAGCTGTGTTGGTGAAATGGCCGCTGCATGTGGAGTTGAGCGGGCGAGCTGACTGGTTTGGCCGGCTGGTGAAGACGAAGCAGCAGCGTGTGACCCACCTACAACCACACAAACCCCCACTGAGAAACTGACCATCCACGAAAAGCCAAAGAAACATATTATGAAGTAAACGCGGCTGGCTGACTGACTGACTTACTTCCTATCCTCGGCAGAGGACGGACAGCTGCTACTTCACGGTGACCTGACCTGGAGACCCACTGAAATTTCTGCTTGCACGGATCATTTGTTTCTGATTTTTCTTCTTCTGCGTGAAAGAAAAACACGACGATTTCCACAGGTAACTCACTCAAATGAATTAAGGCTAAAACAGACGCGGAACACTTTAAGGGCCCAACCTGAGCAGCCACTTTGAGGAGAGTCACTAGTGTTTTCAGCCATAACGCTTTAATAGCAATCGCCGCAATCAGCAGACGCACATTTTGATCCTGAACCTCATCAGGATTTATATGTGGAAATGTTCAACAGCGCCACACAGCGGCGCAGCGGTGTAAGCGAGCCAATTAGGCAGGGAAAAGTACGAGAAGGGTCTTATGCTGCCAATCCTCCTCGGAAGTTCCTACTTACGACCTCTGAGGTCGTATAAGTACGATTTAATTTGTGTTTGAATGGTTTTGGTTGGAAATAAGTGGAAATAATGTTTTTGGTTTACTGTTATTTTTTCTGTTATTAAAGAGAGTCTGTGTATTTACATTATATCTGTATTTCCACGTGTAGATGGTTTTAGCCTGCAGTGTTAAGGTTGTGGCTGATTAATAACTGAAATACGGTCAGTTTAGCGGCTCGTTGGTTTTTTGTTGACACGGCCCAACTCGGAAACTCAGGGCTCATTGAAAAATATGAGTTTCCCACTAGTAAATACCACATTGTGGTGCCGTTTGTGTACATGCATCTCGTAAATACGATATTTCTGACGCGACTTGAAGGCAACATAACTCTTAGAGCTGGTTTATGAGGTGTGTGGTCTTTTCGTATTTCCCCATTATATCAAAAACATGACTGCATAACGCTAGAGGGCGCCCACGAGCGAGTTCTCAACGAATGGGAGTAAATGGAGGTAAACGACTTAAAATGAAAAGTTAAAACAATCTCTAATCACTTGCCCAGAGCTTTCCTTTAACCAGCAAAAATAGAAAACCTACCTATATATTTCTTTTTTTCCTCAGCAAACGGGTTTTGGGCAGCAGAAAGCTAGCATTACTGCTACTGAGTGCTGATTGGTTGGCGAGCGGAGCAACTCATTGGCTGTTCATGCTCACTGACGTCATTTTAAACTCCTATAACTTATAAGTTGAGTTCAAAAGCTCTTAAAAATATAACAGTTGTGTTAAAATGTTTTATGCTGTTCTGTGTTCAGGAAATGAATGTGTTTTGAATATTAGCATTTACCCTTATCTAACGCTCTGAATTCAATTTGTGAAGGCCTTGCTTACTGGCAGGTGTGATGAGGTCTGCAGTGTTTGGCCTACGAGGACTGGAGCTTGACACATATGCCCTAAATAGTGCACCATGTGAATTATGAAATTTGGACTTCACCCAAAAATGTGTACTATACTATCCTGTAGGGAATTGTGCACATGTGTTTGAGTGTCAAATGGATCTTAGACATATTATGCACTCTTTGGGAGCCGGAGTCATTATTTTAAAACGTTGTGCATTATATAAGGAGTATGGAGCCGTTTGTGATTAAGCCTAAGTGATCACGAAATAAAGGAAGCCTGTAGTGCAGCTAAGCTGGAGAGATTGGCCTTGTGAACAATCGGCTAATCAGTAAGTCTGGTGTGGGGGCTAAAGTTGTGGTATTGCGGCTCTACAGATGCAGACTGCTGTAAAAACCTGTCTGAGTCAGATTTCTCTAGAAATTTTATTTGAAAACTTCTTCTTTACTCTCTTAAAGGCACACGGCCCACATCATTTTCTGAATTTTGGGCACACTGTAGAGGAAATGGTGGAAGCTTTTTTCGCCCGTTAAACATCTGTGGTACAGTTGTAGTTATATCCCTCACTTCATCTAACAAATTTATTTTCGTTTATTTCGTACACGATCATACAACCCCTGGGAATCCCTGACCGCTAGCCTAACCACTGATCTACAGGCTAATAAATACAACCAAGCTATCATTAGTGTTTAGCACAAAATGAATGCCAGAGACAAGTTACCCTTTTTGCCAGAAAAAAGAAGACAAACTGAAGTAAAGTGTATGGTTAGCCAGGATGCTAACATTAGCTTTTAGCTTGTAGTTGTTCTCCTCATCTGATGACTTATTTTTGTTGTAATCCATTCTCTCTATTGTAATGATGACTGAAGACAGTTACCATCGTTATTTGGGTGCAATGAAATGTTTAACACAGACGAAAAAATCCCCAAACATTTCAAACAGCTCCTAGAAATCCACCCAAAGATTTCCTCCTTCAAAATCATCAGACGAGAGCTTTCTTAGCTTCAAAAACTAAAAACTCACTGTAGAGACTACTGCAGCACTGCTATAAGAAAGCATGTTTACAACAGATGCAAAGATGACTGAAAGTAAAAAAAAAAAACATTTAGAAAGTCAAAGTAGAATTTTCTCTTAAATATGACAAATACTGTTTCATATGACTTGCTATCATAATGAAAACTTTAGTATTTATTTTTCATATTTACATAATACATATGAGATATTAAGGCATACTTTCTCATTGTGACTTTCATTAACATCATTATGATATGCTTTTCTTTATTACAAGTGGTGGAAACAGGCTTCCTTAGAATCTTATCATTTAACATAGTAAATCAAATTAAACTAGCATATAAACTAGGCTTAGCTTAATAACTTACTACACAATCAGTTATGTTCTTTACAGATGCATCAGACTACAGAACATCATCTCTGAGTTGAGTAAACTCTGCCACATCTTTCACCATATTTCTTGTCATGGCCATTGACTTGAACAGCATTCTCATATTATACACAGGGGCAAAGATGTATGTGCTCTGAGGAGATGTCAGCCATTTTAAGGATGGCACTGTTAAGGCTGACTTCAGTGGGTTTGCATGTGATTCTCTTGAATCACAGATCTTTAAAAGATCTATAAATTTCTCTTTATTATTAAAATTTATTATAAATTTTCTATAAATAAATCTATAAACCTTCACACTCCACACATTCGTAGCCTCTTATGCTCCTTGGAACCACTGGTGGTTCCAAAACGCACTTCGTCATAATCTTCATAACTTTGATATTTCATAAGCTACATTCAAAAAGTGGGTGTCGTATGAGAGCTGTCCTCTTTCCAGTCAAACAGATGGGTAATGTAATTTAAAATCCTTATAACAGAAGAAGCTGAACTCACAAATCTGGGCTATAAACTAGAAACAGATGGCGTCTCTTAAGTGATCTGCTCTGTAAAAATTATTTTTATAAAATAATATAAAGAGCGTCTACGATTTTTGGCTTTCAACAATAAATTGTAAGCATATAGCAATATGTGTATGATCATAAAACACATTTTCTGTTAATTTGAGGGGAGCTTTTACAAAAAAATAAGTAAATAAATAAAATAAAAATTTGCATTTATTTCATGCAGTTACTGAATAATTTGCCTTAAGATTTGGTCATGGAAATTCAGATGGACAAACCAAAATATACCCTGGAGCATAAGAGGTTAAAGTTACAAAGGGTTTCTTAACAAAGATTAGATGAGTGCCTGTTAACACCTAGTAGAGTATTAATGTACAGTACATACTGTGTATCTCATAATTTAACTTGCGGAAAAATTCCAAGAAAACTGTGCATATGTTGCATTTGCAGCTAAAATCTGTGATGAAGGCAAGCTATTCAGATTTTGGAAAATGTGTTCAGAACTTTTTTTAAATAGTGAAACTAGCTTTTTGCACACCAGAGTCACGCTGAGGTGTAAATGGCCTGCTCAGTGTGAAAAAAGATGACAAGGCTGTTTATGGTTCTTATTGCCTTCAGGTGGTCCTGCACAAAAGGCTATTTGGAGCTAAAACCCCCAAAAAAGGGCAGGTCACAGTGATCCTGCTTTCATTTATTCTTTTACTTTTCCTCTAAGGGGCCACATTGTCTGGTTTTATACACCAAAACAGGGAAAATTCATTTTTACATTGTAATATTCCAACCTCTCCTTATCCCTTAAGTCCTATTTATACTGGATTAGTTTTACCAGAGGAGGTCTGGTAATGTCATTTGTGCCTGATTTGACTGGCCAATTCGAATGGGATAAAGGATCCGTGTAATGATCCCATTACCCCAAATAGCCCTGATTGAAACATCGTTGTGCAGACATGTTCATCAGCTAAATGGCAAATATGGTTATTAACCACATAACTGTGATGTCAATTGCAATAAGATTACTATAACTGAGGGAGCTCTGAATTCTGCAAATTGTAGGATTATAAGTAATTTGCTCCAGAATTATTGCTTAGCAGACTTCTAAAAACTACAGACATGGCAAATTCATACTGGATGAAAATCACATGAGACTATGTTTAAGTTACATGGACGAAATGTCCCTGGTCACATTAAACACAATTCATCATATCACATCAATTAAAAGATGCAATTATTTTCTCCAGTAATCTGCCATCAAAATGTAGCAACTTTTGCCCATCTCTAAAACACTTTTGATTATGGTACTGTGCACTGTCCACTCCCACCTATCACTGAGCAAAACATTTACGTTTATAGAGACCCTCCCAGATACTGTGTTTCACTTGGAAACTTGTCACGAAATAGAAGGAAAATGTGTTATGATTTATGATTTATGGTTTCAACAACTGCAGCACCAGTCTGATTGACTGTCTTCTTCTAGTTCCTGCCACAAGCTAAAGCACTAGCCATGAGCTAACACAATAGCCCCAAGCTAACGCACTAGCCATGCTAACACACTAGCCACAAGCTAACACACTAGACTCAGGCTCCCTGCTAGAAAAAAACAGTACATTGTTGCTGTAGGAACAAAACCTTGTATCTCCAAAATGGTGACGTTACACAAGGAAAAAACATTATTAACTTAATTTAATGTAGTTGATGAAGTTAATGTAATGTTTTTGGCCCTTTCCTGTGGTCCGTTTGTCATGGAACACAATAAAAGGGTAACAAATGTTTTCAAATTATGCAAAAAGTAAAAACATAAATAGACACACAAGGTTTTTGCGTGATATGACAAAATGTTTTGTTTTGGATTAATGGCATGCTGGTCAACAAGCATGAACATGCTGGGCAACCAGCTAAACCAGCACCAGACCAGCATTACCTAATTTATGCTGGTATAAGCTGTTTTTTCAGCACACAGTAGCCGCAAACTAACACATTAGCCGCAAACTAACACGCAGGCCCCATGCTAATGCAATAGCCACAAATAAACACACTAGCCTTAAATTTACACACTATAGTTCCAAGCCAACATATTTTATACAGAAAAACTGTTTAATTCACTTTGTCGACCATTTCATTTCATTTGATTCTGTTAGGAATGCAGACATTTTAAAATTTTCAGCCTGAAACTATCTCAAATATTACTAAAAACATTGTATCAGCATCAGATCTTTACCCACGCTCAAATGATGTTTCCACAACACTACAAATATCCATTCAAATTAAAACCTTTACTTTTAATTAAAATATATAACTTATTAAACAATATTCTGTCACAGGGGGGACTATGATAATAGGTTAGCCTTCAGAAAAGCACAGACTGGTTCTGCTTTTGTTCATTTGTTGTTATCTCTCCTGGTCAGCCTGCTCTCATGAGGGCAGAATACAGTCCAAATACAGATAATATAGAATATTATATCTATATATAATCTATAGATCAGTTGAAAGTTTCTGGTATCAGTAACCAGCGGTCAGATTCCTCACCTTGTTCTTCATAAACACATTTCAAAGCTAACAGCTACACAGTTAGGATGGATAACAGTAGCCTGCTTTTAGCTGGCCTAGCAGTTTAGCCAAAACTGTTTAACCTGTAAGACAGAACTGCGTTCATTTTTGCAGCATGTGTTGCTGTGTGTAGTCATGAACGCTGTCGTTTCATGCTTGTCTTTTTATTTAAGACCTGTGTTTACTGATTGTGTTTAGAGTCTTGTGATTTACATTTTCATTTTACTTTAGTTCTCATCTGTTTGCAGTGTGTTCTATAAAGGTTTTCTCTGACACTTAGGTGCACTCTGGAGTACATTTTGTGCCAAAAGAAAAAAAAAAGATAAAATCCACAAGCAAAATATTGAGTATCAAAATGTCATGTTGACAGTTTTTGATTTCATTTTATTCTACTTGCTGATTTTGCTGATAAGAAGAGGACGTTCACCTGCTCTTTACGCGGCTAAAATTGCTTTACTCTTGCTGTGGATACCCTCTCAAGGCTATACGTGAGAGTTGGCAGCCCTGCACTGGCACCAAGCAAACACATTAGCTTTGAGGTAAAACACTAGTCCCAAGCTAATGCATTACCCTCAAGGTAATATACTAGCCCCAAGGTAGCACACTAACACCAAGCTAATTCACTAGCCAAAAGCTAAAACACTAGCCATAATACAAAGATACAGTATGATACATTACACAACAATACGTTGAATGTTCATTACCGTTGAACTGCCAGGGTGAGAGGAAGTGCATGAGATTAAAAAAATCAATATATATTTACATGAAACATAATAGAGAACTAGTGTTGGTGGAAGTATTAGAAGAGATTTGTCTTCTCAGGTGAAAGGAATGGGGAAGTAAAGGACCGAACCATGTAAACATTCCCATCATACTGAACTCCTAATGTAAGAGAAACAGCACACATCCTTTAAGCCAGAGACGCTGACTGGATCCAAGGACAAAAACGCAGGTAAGATTTCTTGAGTTATTTGTTCTCACTTATTAAATAAATGAATTCAAACCAAGCTGTCATTTTGATAGCAAGGACAGTAACTTTTCTTTTTCAAATATGCCTAATCATGTGATTGCTTCTAAAGGAAGATAGGGAGGATGAATGAGACAGGTAGGCTATGTCCAATTCTGCAAGCCTTTCAGACAACATAATACAGTGAACAGCTGTGCTGTCTAGTGGAAAAAAGGAAAAAGATGGTCAGCATGATAAAACAGCTTTTTCTCTGGAAATGTTACAGCAAAGTTAAATTGAAGTGCTGATTCTCTCTGGCAAGCATTAAAAGTGAACATACCTTGAAAGAAATCCAAATTTTCCACTCCTGCACTATTTCTTTAGTTTTTGAAAATAAAAAAGCAAATATGTGTGATACCTTTTCTCTCAGTTAATGCATTCTCAAGCTGCTTATATTGTGAGGTTTTTGTCTAGCTTTGTGTTGCCCCAGATTGACAGTACAATGTGTCTAAAACATTTAACATTTGATATGAGGAAACTGTTTTAGGAAGTACTCTGAACTGTAAGCAGGGAAAACTAATTTTAAATATAAGCCTGGTGCATTGTTTAAGCAGATGCAGCAGAACTGGTTTGTGGATGCCTGTAGCCTATAACCATTTATTCTTCTGTTTATTCTTAACTTGAAATAGGAGAAGTTAATGCTCCTAGAGCCCATTTATAAGGTCAAAGATTGTAAGGATTCTAACTACAATGCGTAAAATGTGGAATATTATCAAAACTTGTAAAACATATATTATCACCATGGGATTGTTTGCAGTTTGTTCTCTTTTATTTAATAAAGTTCAATTTTCCTCATGGTATAAGTACCTTCGTCTTACTGAAAGTATGAGAATAGTACCTCTGAGCCTGTAATATGAATGTTCATTGGCTTGAGATTTCTTTGCACAGAATGAGAGCCTAAGAAGAGCTGTCATAGTTGGCGATCCTCCATAATGAAAAAATATTTATAGCATAATATTAAAATTATATTGGTTAAATTTGAAAGAAGTCAGGAGAAAATAATGTGCTAAATATGATGATGTGCGCTGCTGTGAGTTACCCTGTAAAGCCTAATATTATAATGTAAAGTCAAGCATTGGGTTGGATTTTGCGAGAGCTTTTTGGACCACATCACACATCTTTACATATCAACAACTCCCACACAGACTCAGAAAGAAAGTCCAGCTTAATGTTTATGTCTCAAATCCAAAATCACCATTAAACTGATGAAGATATGAGGACAATAGTCTTCATCCTTGGAAGACAGATTGTTCACCAAGTTTTGACTGAGTTTAAGGACTCTTTCAACATGCATGCAATCAACAAAGTCTTGATTCCAGGATCATATTTTACTTTTCTACTTAAAAAATGTACAAATATGCCTCTTTTCTCATGGGAAGGTGATGGTTAGTGTACCTTTACAACTCTCTGGACCTCAAGGACGATGTTGTACTTTTGAGGGTACATTTACATTGTTTATACCGCAGGGGATTTACCTGGACAGTACCCTTTTTCAAATAGTGTTGAATGTACAGAGTTTGCTGGGTCAAAATAAGCAAATGTCTTTTAAAATTTTTATTTTTGTTCCAGCTGGCATGGAGAAACAGTGGGAGCGGTATCAGCGGAAAGTATCCATGTCTAAAGAGTCCTGCTCTGACAATTACCTGGTGTTTATCTGCAAGTTACCGAGAAAGGAAGGAGTCCGGGTTGCAGAAGACCATGAAGCTATAGAAGTCAAGCTCCCAGCTCAATGCACTGTCCACCAGCTACGCCTGCAGCTCTGCAGGCTCATCCAGGAGACCAGCAGGTTTCCAGACCCATTTGGCCTCCTGGATCCTGAGAAATATACTCTACTGTACACAAAAGGTGAAGATGAGTTTGAAATTTATGATGACTTTCAGGTCCTGCAAACTTTGGATGCACCCTGGTTCCAGGATACTGAAGGACATCGGACAAGCTGGATCACAGTCTTGGCAAAGCATGGTAACTCAGAGGAGAGGGTGTGCTACCAGAGCCTTCTGGATGAGCTGATTGGTTATGATTTAGACAGTGCAGCAGCTAATCGTTTAAGTGAACTGAGTTTTGCTCGTAGAAAGTTTGTCACACCACGCAAGGAAGAACTAAAAAGGCGCCATCCTGTGACGTATGCCACAGAGCCCTGGACAACTTCTGCACCACTCTCGAAAGACCAGCAAGATCAACTCAAATGCAAGCTACCAATTACACTGCACTATAATAACGCAAGCTTTAATGTTACAGTTGATTTGTGTAATACCCCTTGTAATCTCCTCATGGTCATTTGGGAATCACTGCCATCAAAAGGCCAGTCTTTTGAGAAATGGACAGATGATCATGTTCTCAAAGTCTGTGGCAGAGAAGAGTACCTCTGTGGAGATTTCCAACTCTCAGAGTTCCTTTGGGTCAGACACTGCCTGAGGAATGTACTGGAGCTTCACCTGACGGTGGCTGCCGTCTCGTCACTTCCAGATGATTCAGTGAGGAAGGAATACTGGCCTGAGGTTGACAGTCTCACAGGTCTCTCTAGTGCCCATGAAGAAATTTCATTCGAAGGCAAGGAAATTGATGAGATTGTAATGATATCGCTTTGGGACTGTGAGAGGAACTTTAGGGTGAAGCTCATAGGATTCGATATACCTGATATGCCGAGTAAAATCCCTGAACAGGTCCATGTGGAAGCCACAATTATTTATGGCAGGAAGGTGGTGTCATCGGTTTGCTCTTCATCAAAGGTCTTTGCGGAAGAGGTTCTGTGGAACACCTGGCTGGAGTTTGATATCCTTCTCAAGGATATACCTCGTGGAGCTAAACTAGGCTTCACTATTAATTCCAGCATGGTTGCCACCCTATCTAGGAAAACCAGGTCCCATTCCACTGGAGGCAAAGTTCCAGACTTACAGAAAAGAAAAGAGAAAGTGTTATATTTCGTAAACCTACAGCTGATTGACCACAGGTCTCTCCTTAGCCAGGGGCCACACACATTGCATATGTGGTCTTTCTCAGAACAAGATGAAGAAGCATTCACATATGAGGCAGACAAACTCTCCACTGCCACCAACCCTGATGTGGCCAAATCCATGGCAATCACATTTCTGCTGGATCGCTACAGCTTCCCTGTTGTTCTGCCCCAGAGCAGGATGTCTTCTGATACCACGTGTCCTCCTAGTGCAGCATCTCCTTCATCAGATCCCATATCTCCTCTACCTGTCGCTGGATCCAACCCGTCCTCCCCAGCCATGACTTCTCCAGCAACACCTACAGTCAAAGATCGTCTGAAGAGATTCAGGGAAGAGAGTGTTCGCTATGCTTCAAACCTTCCACAGTTTCTCCGAACTGTAGACTGGTTGACGCCTAGTGCTGTTCAGGATGTTCTTTGGCTACTGGGACACTGGAAGCCTCATGATTTGGAATTAGCTGTGGCTCTGGAGCTGCTGAGTGTTGACTACATAGACGAGAAAGTCAGGAGATTGGCTGTTCAAAGGCTGGAGATGATGTCCAATGAGGAGGTACTGAGGTACCTGCTACAGTTGGTCCAGGTAAAAAAAGCTTAAGTAACATATTCTGATGTCTGATAAGTGTCCATCTGAGTTGTTGAAAATTTGGAGATCTCTGAAAGTTCAACTACTGTGTAACAAAGACTATGATGGAATTGGTGTCTACATTCTTCCCATAAATACTGTTAAATCCAACAAGCAACACTCTAGCCAGGTTCCATCGTTTCCATCAAACCAACCTTTGGTGATAAAAACGTCTCACGTAATGGTGTCGTTTTCTGCAAAGAAAAGCTGTTGTTGCAAAAGTTTTGGTTTAGTGTTAAAAAAGCTGTCCAACACATTTTGATCTAGAAATCTTCATCTTCTGGTATCTCTCAAACATCTGTACCTTTTGGCTTTCCAAATTTCCCAGACTTTTTCCATCAGAACCATTACGTGAGATGTGACGTTTCTGTGCCAGCTAGAGCTGTTTGAGCGCTTTCCATTTAGAAAGGTGCCAACTTATTTTACATCCAAGACAGAAGAATCTGTTTTAAATGAATCATCCATATTAAAAGCTAGTATCTACATCAAAATGAACTTTGTGCCCATTTGAGATTGTAGGCTACCAATACTTTACATTTAATGTTTCAGCGTGTTGTAATGTGGTATCATTTATACATATACAGATTACACATGCTGCTTTTGTGTTATTTTTTGAGCACTGTTATGTTGTCACATCTTTTCCATAGACCTTGAAGGTAGAGCCATACCATGACAGCTCTCTGGCAAGATTCCTAATCCAAAGGGCACTCAGGGTAATTTAGCTTTTTCCCCCAAATTGTTACGTTTGAGACTAATAGTGTAGCATGTTCTAATCTTCAGCGTCTGTTCAACAGAGCAAGCGTGTCGGACATTTCTTTTTCTGGTACTTGCGGAGTGAGGTGGCAGGTTGCCCATTTTTTCGTCAGCGAATGGCTGTCATATTGGAAGCTTATCTCCTCGGCTGTGGTGAGGCCATGCTGACAAGCTTTCAGCGCCAAGTTCAAGTTGTCAAGACCCTACATGATGTTGCCATCAAAGTGAAAATGCTATATCCGGAAAAAACGTCCCTACCATCATCAGGTAATAAGGACACCATTTCTTTTAAATTTCAAAACGACAAAAGAATAAGAGAAAATAACAGAAAAGTATATCATTGTTTACTGTCTGTGTCAGCTGCCCAGAAACTGCGAGAAATATTGCAGGAGTACAGCTTTCCTCCTGACTTCCAGGTGCCTTTTGATCCCCGGGTCAGAGCAGGCACACTCCTTGTGAGTTCTGTATAGTTTCTTGTTTTAGGAAATGAATGATGTTATACTTCTTTAACTTTGCTAAATCTGACAGATTTTGAAAGAGTTTCCATTCATTTTCATAAAGATTTTTCTGAATCTCATTTCAAGATATAGCTGCTTGTAACCAGACCCAAACCACCCTCTTTCACAGCTGAAAGAATGCAAAGTGATGGCCTCCAAGAAGAAGCCTCTCTGGCTCGAGTTCTCCTGTATGGAGTCAGAGGCACCAGCTGGTCCTCCAGTAGGTATAATCTTCAAGGAAGGTGATGACCTCAGACAGGACATGCTCATCATCCAGGTAAGCTGTGATTATCAACAGTTCAAAAAGATTCAGTGGCTGGCTTTTAGGGTTGCCAGGTGTCTGCTTTTGGACCCGATGGTCCTGTTTTGACGTCCTTTGTCCGGTTGCCACTTGGCTAGTTTCACTCTAAATGCTAAACTGCTGTAGTCAGTACATGTCTATATCTTCCTCTGTCTCCCTCTGTCTTGGTCACTCTCTGTTGCTCGATTGATTGGGTATGGGTGGGATGGGTGTGTTCTTGGGTTAAATCTCAAACCATGTATACTGTATTGAAAAGCACAATGAAACACAGCCTTATGTAGGCACGTTAGGCAGTGTTATGTCAGTGTGGGATAAACCTGTTAGTTCTCAGTTAGTTTCAGAAATAAATTAAGTATGCATTTTCATTTCATTTTTGCGTTAGTTTAGTTGGGAAGACACAGTCAGTAAAGACTAGATCATTTTTCATGGTTTTATTACACAAGTTTTATTATATGCTTTTATTTACTGAAATCTGACAACCCTACATCACATGTCTTGGAGGAAACTTGTGCTAGCCTTCACTGTCCCAGTTTGGTATCACTGTGTGATAGAGAAAGACCAAGTTGGAGTGTGGAGTTGGATTTAAATAAAATAATAAAAAATAAAATAAATGTAATGATAAAATACACAGATGATTATGCAAAAATGTAGTCCATATGTTTTTGCAGTGCTAATTCACTTGCATTGGTAGCTCCCTAATACAGCTACTGTATACCTATGCCATATGAGGTTACTTAAGTCATTTTCGTAGCCTGATCCAAAACTTTTGATTCTTTCTCCCACCCTGAGCATGTATAACACCCATCTAACACCCTCCAGCAAGGTTGAGCCTGCGTCATACTCTCATTTTTAGTCTCTAAAAAAGTCACTTTCATTTGTGTTACATTTCATTTTTTAGGGGAAAAAACAGTTCCAGAAGTGTAGTAATTTTGTATGATTTTATATTGCATTATAGACACTGATAGTGATGGACTCAATTTGGCAAGAAAATTGTCTGGATCTCAACCTTGTGCCCTACGGCTGTATATCTACAGGATATAACATAGGTATTTGAACATACATGTTTCTCTTAGTTAAACACAGGACCCATATCCTACATTTTTCCTATATTTATCCCTTAGAATTAAACAGGCTGTTTTTCACTCTTCCTTTAAGACTTAAATATGTAAATGATCTTTTTTTTTTGGTTGTCCCACATAGTGCCTTGTTCAAAAAGCACTCTGAGCTGATACACTCTTTATAACTTCAGTGTGAGTGGTAGGGGCTAAACTGCAGTAAGCTGAATAGGCGAATGTATGTAAATGCGTGACATCATAAAAACAGACAATTCAAAATTTCAAAAAAGGCTGTTTTTGCAGCTTAGTTTTCATATACATTGACTGTGTGGACTGTGGCATGAATGGTGTGTTATTAAATGTTTTACAATGTTTACATACTACATCAATTGCTTTCATTTAAAAAAGTAGGGATTTTTTTTTTATCATACCCATAAATGTCAGAGTCTAGATATATAATAGAAGTCTGGATAGAGACAGGAGAGTGCTGTCTAGAACTCTGATTGCACTAAAACTCCTGTATTTTTCTCTAATGCAGGTATGATTGAAATTGTGAGAGACGCTGTTACCATTGCTGCTATTCAGAGAAATCAAGGAGGAACAACAGGAGCATTCAGAAATAATGCCCTTTATGAATGGATCAAGGAAAAGTGTCCCCTACAAGAGAAGGTATGAAGAAAGTTCCTCAGTACAAAAAAATGAAGAACTGAATTTTCTTAATTCAGCATGATTGTACGTCACTTCTTCAGTGATGTACAGTGCTGTGAAAATGTATTTGCCCCTTCCCAAGTTCTTCTATTGCATATTGGTCATACTTCAACGTTTCAGATCATCAAACTACTTTTAATATTAGACAAAGATAACCCAAACTAACACAAAATGTTGTTTTTAAATGATGATTTCATTTATTGAAGTAAAAATGCTGTTCAGCCTTACTTGGCCCTATGTAAAAAGTCATTTCCCCCCTTAGCTACTAAATAAACCATTTAATCTTATTCAATTGACTGTTGATTAAATTTTACTAGCCACATTCAGACATGATTACTGCCAAACATGTTGAATCTAAACATCACTTAAATAGAACCGGTCTGGCAATGTGAAGCAGGCTAGAAGGTCTAAAATAGCCATACATGATGCCCTGTTCTAAAGAGATTTAACTGCAGATGTGAAATAAAGTCATTGAAATCTACCAGTCTGGAAAAAGTTGACAGCCATATTCCTGGGCAAAAATGGCATCCATGGGAGTGTCGCAAGACGCAAACCCCTGCTGATCAAAAAGAGCACAAAGACTCATCTTGCATTTGCCAAAAACATTTAAATGACCCCCAGGACTTTTGGGATAGTATTCTACGGTTGGATGAGTCAAAAGTGGCACTTTTTGGAAGACATTGGTCCTGTTACATCTGGCATAAAGCTAACACCGCATTCCACTATAAGAACATCAAGAAGGATGTCCGCCTGTCAATTTGTGACCTAAAGCTCAAGTGCCGTTGAGTCATGCAGCAGGACAGTGATCCAAAGCACACCACCAAGTCCACAGAGTGCTACTGTATGGCAGTCTATTAATTTTACAAATCTGATCCCTTATTCACAGCACATGCATTTATTTTTAACTGTTAGCAGTCAGTGCTAATGTCTCAAAACTAACACAGACTTTAACCCCCCCTCTCTCTCATGATGCGACAGCAATACCAAGCAATGGAGAAGTTTGTCAACTCATGTGCTGGTTATTGTGTAGCCACGTATGTATTGGGCATAGGTGACCGCCACAATGACAACATCATGATAACAAATCAAGGTAAGAAAATTAGTGAGTTGAGGTGACTCTGTTCAACTTTTTTGTTTCAATAAATGTGCTTTCACACACTCAAGCTGTGACATAAATATCTGTTGTTAAAAGTCAGCACAGAGTCAAGGTACTTTTGTTTCAAAACAAATTGCACTCTATAATTACTGATGCTGTGTTAAAGGAGTTCCTGCAGAGTTAAATTACATTAAAGTGCAACTCTGCAGGAAATATGCTAGTATTATATATTATTATGGTTGGCTATTAGAAGAGGAAATGCTGAGACAGTGCTATGTACAAGAAAGCTGTAAAGAGCACTTAACCCAGTTCATGTGGTGCAGGGTTTGCAAGAAAGACAGAGGGATCTTTTTAAAGAACTAAACTGACCAGCATTTGCAGCAATTGCTAGTTCCTAATGGGACTTTTTGCTTTCGACAGTTGATTTTGAGCATCTACGTTCTTTTTTCTTGATGTTTTTTTTTTCTAAGGGAACCTTTTTCACATTGATTTCGGACACATTCTGGGCAACACCAAGAGTTTTTTGGGTGTGAGTAGAGAGAGAGTTCCCTTTGTCCTCACTCCTGACTTCCTGTATGTCATGGGCAGAGTGAAAGGAGAATCAAGCCTTTACTTCCGCAAGTTTAAGGTAAGTATTTTTCTGGAAACAGAATGTAGCTAGGGCTAGGTATTGTTCAAAATTTCTCTGTACTGATACCAATAAAAAATACTTGACTTTGATACAAATTCTGAACATTTTGTTTTTCTGTACTTTCTTTTGTAAACACAAAGAAAATTGAGATTAAATTGATACATGATACATATAGCTTTAAAATAAATAGTATATATTACATATTTATATATAATATATCAATTCTATATGTAATACACCAGTGAGCCAAAAGTTTATGACTGATATGCTGTTGGTTCTCCGTATGCCACCAAAACGGCTCTTACCTGCCAAGGAATGGGCACTACAAGACCTCTCAAGGTGAGGTGGAGCCACTGTATTGAGATCTGGGGAATTTGAAGACTAGGGCAACACCAAGAACTTTTTGTCATGTCCCTCAAACTATTCCACAATTCGAACAATGTGTGCAGTGTGGCAGGACACATTATCCTCTTAAAAGAGGCTTTTGCCATCTGGGAAAATTATGTGTGCCTCCGCTCACAGCAAATTTCAAATTTCAGCAAAATTCACTATGATTTTTTTTTTGTGTTTTTAAACAGACATAAAAACAAGAACAGCCACTTTCCCAATACGAGTGGAGACACATAGGCTAGTAAAATTTGGTGAAAAAGTTGGCATTTGCCACCAAAGTCAATATGTTCAGACTTTACTTTATTTGACTGTATAGAATAACAAGGTATAAACATTAATATGGTGATTTTCAAAACTGGCTTATAAATAGGATATAAAGAGACTGTACTGTCTTATCGTGTACGTCACCGCCTGCTTTTAGTTGCACTGTACAGTGTGGTTATTTTAGTTTCTCAGCATGTTTATTCAGTACCCAGGTGAACAGCATGTTAATTTAAATGAAACACCTTTATTTGAAATTGTCTATAGACAGAGCTGTCTGTAGAGGCTGTTTCACAGCACTTCTGTCAAGCGGAGCGTTTTCGTACCATGTGAGTATATAAATTGTAGGCTTTGTCTGTACATGATGGTCTACATAAATACACAGTGTGAGTCACCAAAGAGCAAGATTTCTTAAATTGCACAGTGTATGTCTGGCTTTAGAGAACGTTCAACCCAGTTCAACCAGCCAGTTCAAACACTCAGGAAAGACGTAAAACTCCACATGTGAGCTCCTCGGATTCATCAGCCTCAGAATGTGATTGCTGCTGTCACTGTGCTGCAGAGACTGTTGAGAGAGAGAGAGCTGAAATACGAAACATACTTTACTCACAGCTGGACGGAAGCACTTTTCTGACATGGAACAAAATTCACTCTTCTACACTGCAGTGCTGTTCAACTCATAGCTAACTATGCACAGCATTTAATATGAGCTAGATTTTAATGATTTAAATGTAAAAGTACATTGCACTCATTCACACTAATAACAGCTTAATTCTAAGTATATTATATGATTTAGTTCCTTCTGTCTGTATATGGACTATTTTTATTTTATTTTCTTTTTTATTCTTTTGATAACCTTTCCATAAAACTGGTTTTCTTCCATAAACTGCTTCTCTGTAAAGCTGCTTTGAGACAACACTAGTTGTAAAAAGCACTGTACAAATAAATGATGTTGTTGTTGTTTTTATTTAGCATGTCGTCGTAATCAGGATCAGCGAGTACTAAAAAGCATTTACTGTGTTTGTACTCGGTCAGAAAAATGGTATCGATGCGTAACAAGTATGGGGGTATTAGTAAGTATAAATGTTTTGATGTCACCATTGTATAAGTGTATGGGTGCTAAATATGAATAAACGTTACTTAGATGTTGCTGTATGTGCCGGATATGACTAAATGTTACTGTATGTTTTATAAAAATTTATAAATGTTGTTTAGATGTTGCAGCATCCATGCTGAATATCCATGCTGCTCAGTGGTTGCTATATGTGTGCTTGAATATGAATAAATTTTGCTTAGATGGTGATGTATGTGTGCTGAATATGAATAAATGTTGCTTAGATGCTTTCATCTAAATAGCCTTTAATCATATTCAGAACATATAGTGACATCTAAGCAACATTAGTTCATATTCAGTGCATACAACATCAAAGTAGCATGCATATTCAGCACATGTCCAACAACATCTGAGCAACATTTATTCATATTCAGTATAAATACAGCAACATCTGAGCAACATTTATTCATTTTCAAGCACACATACAGCAACATCTGAGCAGCACTAATATTCAGCATAGATACTGCAACATCTAAGCAACATTTATTCATATTCAGCACACATACAGCAACATCTGAGCAGCATTAATATTCTGCATAGATACTGCAACATCTAAGCAACATTTATTCATATTCAGCACGCATACAGCAACATCTGAGCAGCATGGATATTCAGCATAGATACTGCAACATCTAAGCAACATTTATTCATATTCAGCACACATACAGCAACATCTGAGCAGCACTAATATTCAGCATAGATACTGCAACATCTAAGCAACATTTATTCATATTCAGCATAAATACAGCAACATCTGAGCAACATTTATTCATATTCAAGCACACATACAGCAAAATCTGAGCAGCACTAATATTCAGCATAGATACTGCAACATCTAAGCATAAATACAGCAACATCTGAGCAACATTTATTCATTTTCAAGCACACATACAGCAACATCTGAGCAGCACTAATATTCAGCATAGATACTGCAACATCTAAGCAACATTTATTCATATTCAGCACACATACAGCAACATCTGAGCAGCATTAATATTTAGCATAGATACTGCAACATCTAAGCAACATTTATTCATATTCAGCACACATACAGCAACATCTGAGCAGCATTAATATTCAGCATAGATACTGCAACATCTAAGCAACATTTATTCATATTCAGCACACATACAGCAACATCTGAGCAGCACTAATATTCAGCATAGATACTGCAACATCTAAGCAACATTTAATCATATTCAGCATAAATACAGCAACATCTGAGCAGCATTAATATTCAGCATAGATACTGCAACATCTAAGCAACATTTATTCATATTCAGCACACATACAGCAACATCTGAGCAGCATGGATATTCAGCATGGATGCTGCAACATCTAAGCAACATTTATTCAAATTTAGACAACATACAGTGACATCTAAGTAACATTTAGTCATATCTGGCACATACAACAACATCTAAGTAATGTTTATTCATATTCAGCACCCGTGCACTTATACAGTGGTGACATCAAAGCAACATTTATACATTTTCAGCACACATGGCAACATCTAAACATTTGTTGTCATTGGCTGAGAATAACAACAAAGCACAGTGCCAAAAGTTTACATCTCATCAGTTATAAAAAAATATTCCTTTTCAGCACACATATGGCAACATCGGCAACTTAAGGAAAGTTTATACGTATTCAGCACATGAATATAATGTTGCACACACCACAGAGCACTGTAGTGAATCTTTATTTCTTTGTAAAGGGGCATTAAGCTGGCCAAGTCATGTATTGATTGTCTTTTCTCATAGGACACGTGTATCCAGGCCTATTTGTCTCTGCGCTGCCGGTCTCGCCTGCTGCTTACGCTCTTCTCTCTCATGCTGCTGACGGGTATTCCCGAGCTGAGCGCAGCGCAGGACTTGCGCTACCTGCGGAAAGCTCTGCAGGAGGAGCAGAGCGAGGAGGAAGCGCGCCAGCACTTCCTGCAGCAGATCGACCTGTGTGAGCAGAAGGGCTGGACTGTCCAGGCTAACTGGTGGATCCACTTGATGGCTGGCATCAAATAGAGGAGAAATGAGCCAGCTTTGACTGATGTGGTTGTGTAAGCATTTTAGATGTGCATACTACTTTTTAGTGCATTTCAGCATTGCTTCTTTAATTAACATTGGGGTTAGTGATTTGTTGAACCAAGACCAGCATAGAATGCCATGAGTGAATGATGTGGCAGAGTAAGGTTCTAGCTAATGGATGCAATAATGAGCTAATTTGAAAAAAACTGTTTATAAATGCATCAAGCGTTTTTCCTCCACAAAGTCATACACTCTACTATACAGTCTAATGCAAGGTTCTATAAATAAAAGCAAATAGGTTTCTTTAAAGGGGACGTCCACTGATTTTTCCAAATTACTGCGTAATTCAATCTTCGAGATGTAAACAATGGGCCTCATTCACTACTATCTTCTTAGATAGTAGTTTTTTTCTTCATGACGTGTTCTTAAAGTGTGTGTAGATTCTGTTCTTACCTAAGAACAAATTCCAAATAAGAAAACACTGGTGAACGTCAGAATCTTTGTGAAAACTGTGTAAGTGTGTTTTAAGAATACATTTCTTCTTAAGAAAGGTTGGTGAATGAGGCCCAGTGTCATTGTCATTGACAGTGTAGTCTGATGTGAAATAGTGCATTGTAGAGATACTTACTTACTTACCTTCTTTTCAGTGGTGGTGAAAGGAACCACAACGCAAATATATTTTATTTACAATACAAAACAACCAGTAAGCCTACATGCATCTACATGTTGAAGTTTCATATACGGTACATTTTCTTTGGGTGCTCTTTTTTCCCTTACTTCACCAAGTATGTACCTCACACTCATAAAAAAAAATATGTTTTAGGACAAAATCCTCAGAATTATCATAAAACCATGTTTCAGGCATCAGGCAAAATATTCATAACCACTGCATGTAATAACTTTCTTCAGGCCTATCACCACCACCACAAACCCTTCTGAAGTTTCTGTAGAATGGCATTTCACATTAAACTACTCTGAATGACTGCGCTGTTAGGGCCAGTGCTCAGTGATTTTTCAATAAACAGCCTATTGCTTACGTACTTACATGGTCTGTTTCTTTATGCAACAGGGAACACACTGAACAACATCATTATCTCAAGCAACAGCAGACTGAGGCAGATTTGGCCAAATAGCGCTCTTTCATCTGTTGTTTCTGATCAGGGACATTTAAAAATGTGAACAGTACTTCACATAAATGCACTGGTCATGAGTGAGCATTAAAGGAGCGTAGTTACAGAGTGCATCACAGCACCATCATTTTCTGTGTGGGAGCTTTTAGAGACTCTTCAGATATCTGGTTATGTACAAATAAACTAAATAAGAGAAATAAATGCAATTTTGTTGGTTAAAATGGGATGTTTAGGACACCGTTTTCAGTGATGTTAGCATTTACCATTCCATGAATCGGTTTCGCGTGAAAGAAAATAAGAATAATAAAATATTATTATTCAAATCTTACACAAACGTCTTCAAATCTGATCCCAAAAGCATATCAACTGTTACCATGGAGACATGACTGAATATAACACATTAATAAGGCTACATTTATTTAGTTTAAAAATACAAAATATATTTTGTGTACTCAGTGTGTATATCAATGTGAAATGTTGTTTAATCTCACTTTTCAGGCCTTGCTTTTTTTTTAGTTTGTAAACACAGTTGCCTGTTAGCATTCACTCTTACAGACAAGAGGAAGATGCACTTCCCAGCTAGCAAAGCAACTTTTATTTGTTAAACTTTACTGTTTTTTGCTGACATCAAACTTGGAGAGGAGAGAACACAAGTTTACCCGATTGCTGCTCCCGCAATTCTCTCTCGTAGTGTTTTTTTTTTTTTTCGTGAGCACATGGATAGTTCCACCTCATCCTCTCATTTAAGTTCTGAACAATATACAGCTTTGACATGAGGGGGAGGCAGGGCCCTTCTGTAATTTGAGCGTATAGGGCCAACCAGCTCTGTTCAGCACACATATAGTAATATCTAATCAACATTCAGTCATTTTCAGCACACATACAGCAACATCTAATCAGCATTTATTCATATTCAAGCACACATACAACAAAATCTGAGCAACATGTATTCATTTTCAGCATGAATACTGCAACACCTTATCAACATTTATTTATTTTCAGCATGGAATCTGCAACATCTAATTAACATTTATTAATTTTCAGCATGGATACTGCAACATCCAATCAACATTTATACATTTTCAGAATGAATACTGCAACATCTAAGTAACGTTCATTCATTTTCAGCATGGACACTGCAACATCTAAGTAACATTTATTCATGTACGGCATGGATACTGCAACATCTAATCAACATTTATTTATTTTTTTAGCATGGATACTGCAACATCTAATCAACATTTATTTATTTTTTTAGCATGGATACTGCAACATCTAATCAACATTTATGCATTTTCAGCATGAATACTGCAACATCTAAGTAACATTCATTCATTTTCAGCATGGACACTGCAACATCTAATCAACATTTATTCATTTCCAGCATGGATACTGCAACATCTAATCAACATTTATTTACATACAGTAATATATTTGCACCAATTAATCATTTTCAGAAAACACACAATGACATCTATGTTCATCCATGTAATGTTTATTCATATTCAGCACACATACAGCAACATCCAAGCAACATCATTTATTTTCAGAAAATAAATATAGACATCGAAGTCACATTTAATCCTATTCAGCATATACAGCAACATCTAAGCAACATTTATTCATATTTAGAATATGAATAATGTAAAAAAATGAAAACATTAAAAATCAATTTCCAGCATTGCTCAATGTGAAATGTTTAATATCACTTTTCATGTTTTTTTTTTTCTGATTACACGTTACTCTTGGACTGCGGGGGGGCCCCAAAAGATTCTTGTGCCTAGGGGCCTAGCAAGACAATGCTCCGACCCAAGGTGCACCTAATAATGTGTATAGTGAAATAAACATGCAATCACAGGGTTGTACTAGTGTTGCAATAAGACTATTATGACTACAGAGGGCAGTGTGGCTCATTCTCACAGGCCACAGCACATGCATTCTGGTGTACAGCACGAGGCAATACAGATACAAAGGTTTACAACAGTTAGTAATAAGCTAAATATGCTTTAATTACTGAAATGTTGTCTTTGTTACATTGTCTACTGAGGTTCAGGCACCCCACACACCGACAGCACAAGCCTACGTTGGCTTCAGTGTTGAGCGTCTGTCTGTGCATGAGCCAGATTCTAGCATTGAAGCTCATGTGTGAAGAAAACATTGGTAAAATTTTCAGTCAGTGGCCAATAATTCAGTAATTGCCAGTCATTTCACAATAAACAGTGCATTTTTTACGTTCTTACTTTTGTTTGTTTATTTAACAGGGACAGTACATAATAAACAACAACATTATTTCAAGTAACAGCAGATTGAGCCAGATTTAGCCAAATATTCAGCTCATTTTCATCTGCTGCTCCTGAGAAGGGATATTGAAAAATATGAACTTATATATATACTTCACATGCAGACCATAGTCACAAGTCAGCATTAAAGGAGCAGTGAGCAAGCAACAAAATAAACCCCAAAAAATCACATAACAGTGGGCTGCGAGGAAGAGGAAGGGTATTAGGAGGGTGTTTTTGGGGGTGCAGGGGTGTTGTCAGTAGTATGTCGGGGCAGGGGTAGGGGGCTGTCAGAGCTGTCTGAGAGGCTGCAGTCAGACAGACGAGCCTGCATGCAAGCTTCTCATCCACTCCATCTACACCCATCTTCCTTCCCTCTGCCTGTTTTTCATCTTTTCTTTCATTAATTCTGTACTCTGTATTCCAGTCTTTGTATTTACAGGTAGATTTTTCCTTCCTTCACTCATTTCCTCTAGATTTTTCCTTTCTCCATCCATTCCTCCTCCTGCTGGTCTGTCTGTCTGTCTCACGCATACTCAAACACACGCACTGACTCAGTGTAACTGATGTGGTGAGCACATGGTCAGACCACACACTGACTCTGTTTTTTGGAGCAGTGCAGTACTCACTCAGAGGAGAATCTGAACGCTAACATCGCTCTCTATTCAGAGGTAAGTCTGTAATGACTTTGAGTCTTGATGAGTCTTTTTTTTAGCAGTGCCAGCATGCCAGTCTAGCATGGCACCATTCACTACAACACAACAGCCAGAAGGCATGGAAATGAATAAGAATGGAAAAGACCATCAACACAAGGAATTTATGTTTTAAATAGAATAAACACTTATAGACAGATAGACAGACAAATATGGTAATACCCGTCAGACAGACAGACAGAGTGAACAAAATAATGTACTGAATTTACTTGATCCACAGTCAAGTCTTAGTCTGGTCTTAGAGTTTATTTACTTTTGACAGTAACTGTATTGATGTTATGTTTTATTCATGTGGAAATTATGTACACATTTGAATGAAACAAGTGCATCACATTTTCAGTGGGGATCGACAGACAGACAGACAGACAGACAGACTCTTAAAAACGGGTGCCACAAAGGGTTCTTTGAGTGATGCCATGGAATGGCATGTTTGGGCGATGAACCATGTTTAAAAAAAGAACAATTGTATGTATGAAGAACCTTTTATATGATGTGAAGGTTCTATACCAATTTAAGGGTTCTTCCTTGAACATGGAGGTTCTTTACACTTTAAAAAGGTTCTTCACACTTCACATCTGAATTACAAAATGGTTCTTGAAAGAACCATCCACTGAAAGGTTCTTTAGGATTCCAAAAGTGTTTTTTCTTTATCGTCATTTAAAGAACACTTTTTGGCATCTTTATTTTTAAAAGACTGGATGGATGGATGGGATGAACATAGCAAAGCCTGTAAAAGTGCCAAAAAGGTTCTTTTTGAGTGCTGCCACAGAAGAACCACTTTTGTTTCACTGGATGGTTCTTTAACAAACATTTTTGTAAATGAGACGTGTGAAAGTGTAAAGAATCTCCACATAATGTACAGGTTCTATACCAGT